ACCATCAACATCATCTTCAAAGGAATAGAATTCACTAAGGAAGAAGAAAACAAAACCATACTACCCTTCCTGGCTATTTTGTCAGTAATGGCAAATTAGAAACACAAGTCTCTCATCAACCAGGTGTTCTGCTACCAAAGTAACAATCCCACAAAAGAAGCTATGTAAGAACCCTATTTAGATAACCACAAATACATGACAGCACCCCTGAATATTAGAAAAAGGAAAGAGATTATCTATACAACATCTCTCCACAAAATGGATAGCCATCAACTTCCTCAAAAGGGCCTGACCACTCAGTCACCAACCGAAACAAACTCTGAAAAGGATAATACTGCCATACATCAAAAACATTTCAGAAAGCACCAATAGACTACAACTGCATACAGTGTAAGAACTACAATAGCCATTATGTAGGATAAACAGTCAGAAGACTAGCAGAGCGTATCCATGAACAACAACCAGCAGTCAGAAGACATGATGAAAACTCCTAAATTTCACAGCACATTGACAGACTTAACTATAGTTTCAGTTGGGAAACTGTGACCAGCCTCAACCAAGCCAAGTCCAAACAAGCTAGAGAATTCCTAGAAGGCTGCCACTCAGGCAAGTTGATCATCCACAGGCACATAGAAATAAACAACATCTACATACCATTCCGAAGACACAAATCAGAAGGCCAGAAAGGAAACAAGAAGACCAAAACACCTCCTCACCAGCAGTCAACACCCAGATGAGCAGAGATTAACAACAAAGTTAACATTAGACCAACAGTCAAGAAGTAAACAATATCCCAATCAAGGAAATACCAATTCAGATAAATAGGCAAACAATAAATAAGTACCCAATTAAAAAAACACAGGGCAACAGAGGTGGTATTCAGCAGGTTCTGACCAGTTCTGGAGAACTTTTAGCGGAAATTTTGAGTAGTTCAGATAACTGGCAAATACCACCTCTGACTGGAGATTTTACAGTATCCTTCCCCTGCCATGCCCACCAAGCCACGCCCACAGAACCAGTAGTAAAAATTTTTGAATCCTACCACTGCAGGGCAAGCCACTAATACAGGGGTGTCAAACTCAAGGCCCATGGGCCAGATCCATCGTGCAGGGTCCTTAGATCTGTCCTGCAGGGCCGGCCTGGAAATAGTAAAGGACTGCCCTGTTGTGACTCTGCTAGTGAAAACAGGCCATGGGGAGGCTGTGGGAGACCCCTATGTGCCTCGTTTTTGACCTGATCTCTTGCAGCACTCTGCTGGCCAAAAACAGGGCACGGGCGATTGCCCATGGCCCCCGTGATCCATTTTGGCCAACAGGTTGCTGCAGGAGGCCATCTTTCCCATCTCTCCCCCCATGGCTGGCTCGCGGAGGACAACTACAATGCTGATCCAACCCTCCAAGAAATCCACCTGACACCCCTGTGCTAGTATATAAAACGAGAGCAAATCATACTCCCTACTAGCATTGTTGATATTACCTAGTTTGGGTGATGAGACATCTGCAAGGAAATAACTGAGCTCAGAGAGAACCAAGGACCCCTCAATTAAATTTGTTTAATCCATTGATTCAGCTGGGAAGACAGTTTCACCCCAACCATGTGTTGTACCAATTCAACTAATGTGTTGTACCAATACAACATGGAGGTCAGCCTCCATGTTGTATTGGTACAGCACATTAGTTTGGTTTATACCCAGGTTGTATGAACTCATACAACAGTATGGCTAGTTTATATTTCAGTGTGTTAGATAAATTTAGTAAATCATGATTCAATTAGCATGTGTTCTGTTGTGCAGAGAGAGAGAGAGAGAGAGAGAGAGAGAAGGGAAGAAAGGAATTCCTCCCTAAGATTTACCCATAGTTCCAACCCCAATTTTTGAAGGAAATGTACCTAGCTTTAACAGAACTTACTTTTCAGAAGTTTCAGTATTTTGAATTTACAGATTATGCATTGCTTTAGATGGGATGAATACTCCTTTATAAAAAAAAATGCTACTAGTATTTCCCAATATGCTTTCTGCTACTTCTTACGGTATTTCTTATGGTATATTCAGTAATTTTAGTATACTGCATTCACTATTTTGGGAGTTCCTTTGAATTTATGGTATTTTCTGCTATTGACATCCGCTAAACTGGCAGGTCAAATAGAAAATCTTAGCTTTCTTTCTGGTCATTAGCTATTTATGACTTGACAGTCAGCCAAAAATCTTTACTACTTCACAGGTGGTTTTTAACAGACTGCAGTCTACAAGATATATTATTAGTCCAGTCCTAAAGCAAGGTGGGTCCACCCCAGTTTTTTATGCTTCTTAGAGAAGTTTCTTATTCATCATAGGGGGCAAGGTGACTATTTTAGGCAGGAGGATATTATATTTCAGTCCACTGTGTGGATAGCGCAGGGGTGTCAAACTCAAGGCCTGGGGGCCGGATTTGGCCCATAGGGTACTTAGCTCTGGCCCACAGAGACACCCCGGAAACAGCAAAGGAGTGGCCCGCAGTGCCTCTGCCAGTGAAAACAGAGCTCGGGAGGACCATGTACAGCTTTCCCGAGTTCCGTTTTTGCTGGCGGAGGGTTGCAGGAGGCCGCCACAGTTGAAAATGGAGCTTGGGAGCCTGTTTTCCCTGGCAAAGCGCTTGGGCCACCACAGGTGCCCCCAATATGAGTAATGTTGAGCTAGCCACACCCAACCCGGCCCCCAGAGATTAAACACATTCCTGATGCAAGCCTCAATGAAATCGAGTTTGACGCTCCTGGTATTGTGAAACAGCAAATATAAAGCTCCCTCCTTTGAGTCTTGAGAAAAAAAGCAGAAAGGCTGCAATTGTCCAGCAAGAAAACCACTTTTTCCTCTTCGCTAAGAGAGTGGAAGGGCTGGGAGAGATGTTGGCTCATATAATTTCTAAGTAAGGAAAGGAAAGTCTGCCTGAATTAAACTCGTCTGCTGGCAACTTCTTGTAATTCTTTTGACAATAATATGGAAATAGTTTGCTATTGCTTTTTTTCCGTTAAAATCCACCTAATTGGGATTTTCCTGGTGCTGGGATCTGCCGAGTTCATGTATTGCAATAAAATAGTTTCTTTGGGTTTGAAGTGAGCCCCCAGAACTTTTTGATCATAGCTTACACAAGCAGTTCTAATTGTGGCTTACTCAACAAGTCATGGTTAAATAAACTATGGTTTTGAAGAGTAATCTAAATGTTTGGATCCATTCAGATCTTTTGGTGAGACATGTGCTTACCAGCAAAGAGGCAATCCAAGAATAGCACATCAATTTTTCTGAACAGTTTCAAGATTCCATTGCAGAGTTCTAATGCAAGACTTGGAAGCTAAATCTGCATAGCATTCAAACCTAGATGAAGCTAGCCAGGGATTCATATCTATAGAGGCTCTGGAGTAAAAGGGTTATATGATATTCCCTTTAATGACAAAAAGACTTGGGGAAACTATCCCTGTGGTCTCATAGTCACAAATGCTGGACTACATTTTGTTCCTAGTTATTTCCCTTGATTTTTAAATTTCAGTTAAGATGAATCACTTCCTCTCTCATGTCTTATCTGACCTTTAATATTCTTAGCATTTCCTCCCTTTCTTGATCTTTTACACATTGTAGGCATCGCTTTCTCTTACTGATTTGCCAACCCTTATACAAACCTACTATATATATATATATATATATATATACATGCATACATAATATTACACATGCACACACACGCACACACACACACACATATAAATTTTTAACTCTAAGATGAGTGGACTTCAGCCAATAGAATTTCCCAGCCAAATGTTAAAATCCGTTCATTTTAAAATTGCTAGGTCTAAATAAAACATACTACTTCAATCAGTCAGGAGTCAGAGACGCAGCTTTGTATCAGGATTAAGACACTGGTTGCTATGCATGGATTCAGAGCTAAAATAAGCTCCGTGTTTGCAGTTCATTGTTGTTTTTTAAGCAAACAGAATTTAGCTAAATGCAGGCTTTCCAGAACTAGGCAACTATGTGGATTTGAACAAATCATACATAAATGAATGCACATAGTAGCACTTACTGACGTATTTTTAAAGCAGGGTTGTTGTTTTTTTGTTTGTTTGTTTTTAGAGAAGATCATTTGACAGTTTTTCCCCCCTTCTATTTTTTCACCTCTTATAAAAAGTCCTGTTTTTGACAGCCATGGTATACATTTGTTTGTTTTATAATCCATGGTTCTAAACTGCCCATCTCCCTCAAGGAGGGACTTTGGGCAGTTCTACTGAACCATAAGACAGAGATCCGTATTCTAAATTTTACTCAAAGGTGTGAAGAATAGATTTTATTCATAGAACTTGGCTGCTTGCAATTGTTCTTTCCTTTTATAAAGCTGATATCCTCATAAACTCATGAATTTTAGTAGCAAGAACCTGCCTTGTGCTGGTTTTCATTTCAGTCTAAATCTCATTATTCTCTTGGCATAATTACTTAGGGCTGTTCTTGCTTTAAAAATGATTTTGGGGGAAAAAAATTGCTTCGGGCCTTACAATTTTCACTCAAAGCATGAAAGCAGCGTGTCTTTAGTGTAACTCCTGCAGAGCCTGGAAAAAAAGATTTAATGAGTGAGAGAGGGATGTTGTCTTCATCTAATGCAGGGGCGTCAAACTCACGGCCTGTGGACCGGATGCTTCACACGCTGGCCATTGTGGGCATGGCCAGCTTGAGGTCACTCATGTCGGAGGCGCCTGTGGTGGCCCGAACACAGTGCCAGCAAAAATGGGCTCCTGAGCTCCACTTCAGCTGCAACGGCCTCCTGCAACCCTCTGCCAGCAAAAACGGAGCTTGGGAGTGCAACCCTCCCAAGCTCTGTTTTTGCTGGCAGAAGCACTGCGGGCCGGTCCTTCACTGCTTCTAGGGCGGTCCCGCCGGTCAGATTGCCCAGCCCCCCCCCGCTCCCCGGGCCTTGACTTTGACACCCCTGAGCTAGGCTGTTTTTTTTTTTTTTTTCAACTCTTCCTCTCTTTTTTTGCAGAGAACTATGCTGTGCCCATTTCTGAAATCATTGCTGTTGAAGAGAAAGAAAGGGAGGAGAAACAGCCTCAACCTGGAAGATGGCAGAAAATGACAAAGCCTCATGCATTCACCGGTAAAGAAAATAAGCCACTTTTTAGTGCAAATAGTTTTAAAATTGTTAACATGCTTGCATAATATATGGAACCAGACAAGGTGGTGGCTTCAGATAACTTCCTGAGCCTCCACACACACACACACACACACACACACACACACACACACACACAGGGAGAGGGGGAGGGAGAGGGAGAGAGAGAGAAGAGGAAATTATCTTGATGAAATTTAAAGTTCCTCTTCTGCAGGAGCTACAGTTGTGACTGCCTTATCAAGAGGTTACATGCCAACTGAACGAAGTTATTACTTGACAGAAGATCTGAATTCATTCAGCCTTTCGCCAACATTTGCTACAGTGGAGCATCCAAAATTATTTCTATAGAGAAATCCTTCTTTGCAGAAAGGAGATTATTAAGATGTCTTTTAAAGACAAATCATTCTTTTTTTCATTTTCATAGTTCATCGCTTGCTATTTGGCTCCTTGAATTCTGAATTTCTGTCATACCGCATGTTCCGTTTTCAAGATTTTCGTAAATGCGCAGAGTAACATTTGCCTGACTTTTATAGACTTTTATACAATAACCTCTCTTTTTATGACCCTATAATCCCTTAATTCGGGGTAAAGTCAGGGCAACTGGATGGAGCTGAGCATTTACTGGCTGAATGCCCTTCCTGATGCCTATGCGGAGTTCGCAGCAGATAGTTTTCTTTGTGTTCTAGAAGAGAAACATCTGCCACTACCTAGGATTGAATCCTCTACCTTCTGAGTAAGAGGCGAGAGTTTTCACCACTAGGTCACCACGTTGCTCATTTGCATGATATCCAACGATAATCAAATATTCTGCATTGATGATATAACTTGTCCAACCTAGACAACTAAATGAATGAATAAACCTAAGTGCCCAAATCGTTAGTTTCCTTTTTTTTCTCTGCACATTGAAAACTCGCATGCATGACTATCTGTGATAGATGGTTTTCTTAAACAGTGAAATGTTCTTTTTACACAAGACAAAAGTTACCTTTTTTACAGATTTAAAAGCACAGTCTCCTTGATTTGTATAACAGAATTTTAATTGGGAAACCTCAACCAATTTCTCTGATTCTTCCATATCACAAAAAGTTTCTCTAAATTAATGACTGGAAAAAAAATGGAATCCCAAATAAATGTATGTCGTTTTGGTATAATGTAATGATTGAGTATTGGATTTGAACCATAGGCACCAGGTTTAATCCCCACTTAATAACAGAGAGCTTGTCTGGATTCAGTCTATCTTTACGGGGTGTTAGGGGAATAAAATGAGGGAGTCCCTCCACCTTATAATTCTCAGAGAAACAAGTGGGTTAGATATATAATAAATCAGTCAACTCTCCATAGCCAACATATTCTGCTCTTCTTTTCTTTTCATCCATGCATAATATGCAGAAAACAAGACTGAATCACTTGCTTATTCGTTTAGCTGAAGACAGTGTACTTCGCAGGTCCTCATCTTATTTATTTTTTTTCACAACAACAACCTTGCAAGATGGGACGGGGGAGGAATAAAGGACCAATGCAAAGTCACCCAGAGAACATCTGTGGATGAAGGTGGATTACAACCTGGATCTCCCCAGTCTTAATCCAACACCTCAACCATAACCCTGGCCCTCAGTTATTTTCTCAGATAAGTTAGTAAGTTGCTGTGGACTGTATACATTCCCCTAGAAACCTTGGAAATATAAATAACTCTCCAATAGTTTGTGCTGAAATGTGATTTTGAACAGAATGAAAAGGGGAAACTCTTTAATGCATGGGATGCATTGAACCTTATTCAACTTGTCCGATTCAGTTTAGATCACTCTTTTTCAATCTTGACAACTTTAAGGTATGTGGACTTCAGCTTCCAGAATTCCCTAACCGACATGTGGGCTAGGAAATTCTGGAAGTTGAAGTTTACACATCTAAAAAGTCACGAAGTTTGAAAAAAAAAAAACCCACTAATTTAAACTTAAATCAAATTTCACGGCTCTCTCACGGCTTTGTTTAGTAGGACTACTTTTTGGCGAATAGCTTTAGTCACTCACAAATTCAGTAGGAATTGGGAGGACAGGAGGCAGAAAAAGAGAAGAATTCCGTGTCTTTTGCCCTAAGATGGGCAAATATTCTATACCTGTACAAATAACTTTAGTCCAACTAAGATTTCCTGACGATGGAAAAAGACACCATCTCAAAGATTGGCAAGGAATCACCTAATGATGAATTTCATGCCCATCTGCCCAGAGTGGCAACCTTTTTCTTTTTCTCAGGATCTGTGGCCTTAAACAACTTATTGGACATGAATTTCTTTCAGAATTCTCAAGCGTCATGTAAATGCTACATGTTGTTATATTTGGAGAGCAACGTTGCTTGTACGGAATTGTGATTCTCTTTTTATTTGTGTATGTGTATCTTTTGCAGTGTATTACATAAAGAGGGCACGGCATCACCGCTGGCGGTGCAGCGAAGTGACTTTCTGGTGCATTGACGAACATCTGTGTAATCAATGGATATGTACACTGAAAGAACTACTTGATTTACAGAGTATGTTGCCGATAAAGAATGTCATTTCCTTTGGGTTCATTTTTTTCTCTCAGGGCCTAACCAATTTCTGAGAAGGGGGGAAAAAAATGAAGCCAGTGATGATGGGAGCTTTTAGCAATAGCACTTGGACTTATATATCGCTTCACAGTGCTTTACAGCCCTATGTAACCCGATTACAGAGTCAGCATATTATCGCCAACAACCTGGGTCCTCATTTTACAGACCTTGGAAAGGGTGGAAGCTTGAGTCAACCTTAAGCCAGTGAGACTCGAATTGCTGGCATTCAGCAGTGAGCAGAATAATGCTGCAATACCGCATTCTAACCACTGCGCCACCGCGGCTCCCTTACACACTGTTATTGCCTACATTTTGAATAAGATGGGAAATTGCACGAGTGCAAGCAGATCCTTCTATTTCAAGCAGCAGAAGGACCTCCTTGTCTTTACGCTAGCTAAGGTGTATTTAGCTGGAATATATGAAGACACCCCGATCAATTCTCCGGCTATTGACATCATGGAGAATACAGTTCTTAACAAGGTTTTATCTATTCTCTAGGCAGACTAATGAGCTTAAATAACATTTGAATGCTGGAAGAAATGTCTTTAGACTGAGAAGACCTCAGTAATGGAACTCAGTTATTGGCCAGCCCTCCCTCAGGAAATCTTTCAGTAATGACTGGGAAATCCTGAGTTGAAATGGACTTAGCTTTAGATTTCCTTTCCTGAGCAGAAAGAGAGATTTGTAGTTCAGCAACTTCTAGAGGAGCTAAAGGGCAAATAATCTCATGGCCCACTTTCTCTCTTTCACGTTGACAGCCTCCAGACCAAAGCGCTTGCTTGTATATATTAATCCACACAGTGGAAAATCACAAGGAGAAAAAATATACGAACAAAAAGTGGCTCCGTTGTTTAGTCTGGCTTCCATCTCTACGGATGTTATAGGTGAGTTATTGGTTTGAGTTGACGGAATCCTCTAAATAACTGCCTTGAATTACAGCATTATAGTTTCCTCATACCGCGGACTTCCCCAATTCGGTGCCCTCCAGAAATACCGAAGAAACATTTAAAGCACTTAGAATGCACTAAGTTTGAGAAAGTTACTTTTAGAAATAGTCTGGCAAGTGGTTTCTGGGGTTATTGAAACTCCAAGGTGCTTGTTTACCTAAAGAGAATTCCAATCAAAGTTGTGTCACTAATCTGGAGACATATTGCTAAAAATATCCCATCATCTAGGACCGTGATGGCAAACCTATGACATGCGCGCCAGAGGTGGCATGTAAAGCCCTGTCTGTGGGCACGTGCTCTGTCGCCAGCTGTTCTTCTGGATTCTGGCACGCACATGCACGCCAGCCAGCTGGTCTTTTGTGGGTGACGGAGCACCGGAAAAAGGCAGAAAAAACAGGCCCCTTTTGGGGCTATTTTCAGACCTTTTTCCAGGCCGTTTCCAGGAGAGGTGATATTCTGGCCAGTTCTGGAGAACCAGTAGCAGAAATTTTGACTAGTTCGGAGAACCAGCAAATATCAACTCCGACTGGAGATTTTACAGTATCCTTCCCCTGCCACGCCTACCAAACCACGCCCACAGAACCGGCAGTAAAAAAACTGAATCCCACCACTGGTTTCCAGGCTGCTTTTTAGGCCAAAAAAAACAGCCTAAAAATGGCCCTGAAAACAGCCACAAAGCAGCTGGAAAACAGCCAAAAATGACCCCCCAAATAGCCTGAAAACAGCCCCCAAAATGGCCAAAAAACCAGACATGCACGCATCGGCCAGCTGGCCTTCGGGTTTCCAGTGCTCGGCACGTGCACATGCGTGTGCATGCTCACACGTTCCAGTTGGGCCCTCGGTGCTGAAAAGGTTCGCCATCACTGATCTAGGAGGCTCATGCAGCGTCCTGGTACACAGGCAGTTTTCAAGATACCGCAGACCATTTGAGAAGCAATATTGCTAAGTAGAAATTTAGCATCTTCTTCTCTTGCTGAGCCACTTTTCATTAAACCCCAAGGATTATGATATTGCTGAGAAATGATTCTAAATGGTTAAGCAAAAGCACCTGCCAGGATGCTAAGTACCTCCCACAAATTATCTATCAATATAAAATAACTTTTTTTTTTTTCGGAGTGCCTGCTTGTTTAAGATTCTGCTCCTTACTGGCTAAACGAAAGCTGCATTTTCATTCCAGAGGTTTTGATTTATTCTTTTTAAAGAACTTGATTACCACTGAGCTGTTGATTTTTTAGTGCTTTCTTTTATACAACTGCTTTATGCTAGCTTTGTTATATTACTGTAATAGCTCATTTTTCTCCCTCCGAAACAACGGATGTGCCCCAAGAAATGGCATTTGCCAAGTTGACTACGACAGAGCAGATTGTTTTGTACAGCTCACTTATTGGACAGGTTAATGTTGGGTCAACATGGTTTATCTACCATGGGGCGTGTCAAATTTTTCAACTTTCAATTTCCAAACATTAGGGATGCTCAAAAATTGTGACATGCCTTGGGGATTGTAAAGATATTTTAGTTACTTTAATGTCATTTAGATGTGATTGGTAAGTAACTACATAAATATCATAAATATCATTTTAATATTTTGTTTGGTTCATGCTGGTGGAGATGCCTCCACTCCATTATTTTATTTGATAAATGTATATCTCTTCTTACATTTCTTCATATTACCTGCACAAAAACAACTCTAGGAAGTAACTTGAGCTGAGGAAATGTAACCAGTATTAGGCCAATTATGAATTTCCAGTGCTGTGGATAGGTTTGAACCCATTCTAGTCCCAAATCTTGACTTCTAAAACAGATTTGACTAACCACTGTAAGACTTGCCCAGAGGTAAATGAGGTGTTATTTATCCAATATCATATATTTGAATGGGCAGTTACTATTTCAATAATCTATTTCATAGATTTAGGTAATAAAATAAAATTTGCTGGGTGTGATGACTCGGGGTGTGGCATGAAGGCAACACAGTCAGATAAGCAGTAAGAGTCCCTTTATTATCTCCAACTTTGCCCCCAATGTCCAGGTTACCTTCTGGCTGGAGAAAAACTCTCCCAGGAGCAGCCTTTGACTGCAGAAAATTAAGTCCAAAACATGAGCAACACAAACTGCAACTTAAAGTCCAAACAAGCCAAACTGAAGTAATTAATTTGGCAGGGCAGGAGCAAGAATTTCAAACTTGAAGGCACGGCAAAACTCACACAATTGGGAAGACGCCAGGAACACAGAGAAGCCACAACAACACAGGATAAAGTCACGTTTGCTCCCAGCAGCCTGCCCCACCCAGCCTGCCTTTCTTATCAGCTGTCTTCCCAGCTGTGGCTAATGAAGGGAATCAAGGCCCTCTCCTCCCTCATAAGCCAGGCAACCCACGCTGCTCTCTTCTACGTTCTTCCCTGCGTGCCCTAGGATGAAGAGGGGGTGGGCCCCTGGGTCTGCCTCTGAACTCCCTCTCCCTTGTTCTATCTCTCCTCTGCTCTGCCCAGCCGGACTTTGCCCTTCCCCAGCCTCCTCCACAGCCAACAGAGCCGCACTCCCACTCCCTGTCGGCTTCCTCCTCAGATTCAGAGTCCAACAAGAGCATGACACTGGGTGTCTTCATCCATTTTAGCTGAATAAAACTCCAGTTTTGAGAGATGTCATGAAGGTCTCACCCCCCCCTCAGAAATGAACTGCCGTGGTAGACAGAGGCATTTACAAAAGGAGAAACTGGTGATGATAAAAGAAACGTTGCCAAAGAAAATAAACATGCATCCTCACAAGTTTTATTTTCAAATTACAAGAATCTTTTAGAAAGTACAAAGTCAAATGAAGCAGGGGCTTCAGCCATAAATTTATCAGGCTTGGGTTACTCGGTGCCTTTGGCAGAGGAGCATTTTCCGTTAGCCGGGGGAAGAGGGTGGAAATGAACCTCAACCAAAACCGTTCTAAGTGATCGTCAATATTCGTTATATATTTTCAACTAATATACTGTCAAAAATGGTTTCCTGAGTGTAGCTGGTTTTATCCATGTCCTTGTAAAAATATGTCTTAAACTACCGGTCCCCTTTTTCCCCCCTCATGTAGTCACCGAACATGCCAATCATGCTAAGGATAACTTACTTGAAATTCATCTAGAAAAATACGATGGGTAAGTTCTCTTTTTTCTCACATTTTTTTTTTCCCCTTTGGCTTTGAAGAATCGTACAGGTGGTGTATTTGTTATTTGTTACTCAGGGATGAACTGGAAGCTTCTGGATGGGGGAAGGGGTGGGTGTGTGGGAGTGTGTCAAAAAAAGTAAAGATGGTGGCTACAACCATACGCTTGATGCCTCCTCCTTTTTCTATAACATGCAAGGACTTTGATCATGCAGTTATGATTGCCTTTTTGACTTCTTTGACTCCTCCCCCCTTCCCAGGATGCTCCCAGATGCACCATTTTGTAAGTCATTTCTTGTTTTCGATTTTCAGACTGTTTTTGTTGGGTGTCTCTGTTTCTGAATTTATCTGTTTTTCCAAGCTTATGTTTAGCCTACCTTCCCTGTCCACATTCATAAACATAAGCCAAGAGAACCGGCTTTGCTTTATCTGCTCAGTGTTAATGCTACATTTCATGCGCTGTAGAATGGAGCTGGGGTTTGTACCCTGCTGAAAGCTGTGGGGCATGTAAGGGGGGTTCACATGTGTCTAATCATTATCTTCAAAGGATACAGGGGTGCCGAGCACCTTTCCAGGAAAAACTTGTCAGGCAGGGTCATGCAAATGAAATAAAAAACAATGTTAGGAAAGTTAAGGACATGTTGACAAATTCTGAAGCAGATGCACCTGCTTGTACCCATATATGTACATGTGGCATGCACATACATATACATGCATGTGTGTATGTACACACACACACACACACAAATATAAAATAAAGCCAAGCCTCTTTCAAATAAAGCCAAGCCTCTTCAAAACTCCAAACCTCACACCACATGTGGCAATATATACATCTCATAAATAAATACGTATTGAGCTGGACTTTCAACAGCCACTTACATGTTGTTTGCATTTACACAAATGCCTAGCCTTTTCTGGGATAATATCTCGAATTTGCGGCCTAGCTCTACGATTTGGCCTTGCCAAAGAAAACTCCTTGGATGTGTTCTCACAGACATCCGGCCTGAAGCGTATTATTTTTATTTGGAATTTTATCTGAAAGGCAAACTGGGGAAGTTGAAAACAAGTCAGTTCCCGAAGAAAAGTGATACGTACACGGCAGGGGTGGGATTCAGCCGGTTCGGACCAATTCAGACAAACCGGTAGTTCCGGTGATCAGTTGGCCCCAACCATCCACCCTTGCCCTAGTCTGTCCTATATTTCCGTGTTTTGCAGCGTAGCTGATTCGCACAGCACAGCGGATTGCCACGCGAATCAGCTGTTTTACTCACCGGGGCTGCAGAAAAAGATAGGTTTTAGAGGAGCTGAAAATAGGCGGTTTTCCAACCCTGCACATGCGCGTGTGATTTATGCGCATGCACAGTACGTGCTCACCGAATCGGTTGTTACACCAGTTGAATCCCACAAGGCAAGAGCAGACTTTGAATCCCATTATTTTATGTGTTTCCATGAGAAACAACATTTATAATTCATATCAGACAGACAGCTAACTGATGCTTAGAATCAGGCACATAGACAGAAGATACAAATTTGCACTAGAGAAAACCGTGCAGCACAAGCCTACATGACATATCCAGACTAACCCATCAACTTGTTAACTCACGTTGTGTGCATATTAACAAGCAAAATGCATAAGCTGCTTCTGATTCCAGGACATTTCCCGCTGCCCCTGACCCAACCCCTCTATTTTTTATTCCATGCAGTTTAGTTTTGAAAGTAGCTCTTCACAATATTTATTTCTAAGACTGGCTACTATGAGGGCCAAAGCATTCTTGGTGAGAAAAGAAGGAAGCCAATTGTGGCTTCCTCCGAGCGTAACACAAACGTAACAAAATCCAAAACGTAAATAAATGTCCTTTATTGCCTCCAACTTGGCCCCACTGTTCAATAATACTCAGTTGGTGATAAAACGTACTCAAAAATAGTCTTCAAAAGAAAGCAATACAGTCTGAATTTAGAGATAGATAGAGGTGAAATAAAAAGCCAAACAAATTACAATGAGGAAATGTCCACAACGGAACAGGAGAAATATTTACCAAATTCAAGGAGATAACAAGGCATAGTCTGTTCGAAGGATGTCAACCAAGATAACCTCAAACCAAAATAAAACCTGCTTGCTTCTGGCAACCCGTGTTCTAACTGTCTCTCTTACATACTCGTCTCCCCAGCTGTAACCAATGAGGAGGATCATGGCTGCTTCCTCTCTCGCAAGCCAAGTTGTTGCCAACTCTGTTCCTCCCTGCGTATCCTAGGATGCAGAGGGGATGGGCCTGGTTCTTCCTCTGACTGCCCAGCCGGCCTCAGCCCTTCTCCAGCCTCCTCCACAACCTCCGGAGCCATACCTCCACTCCCTGTCGGCTGTTCCTCCTCTCCCTGAGAGTCAGTCTCCACCAAGGGCCTGACACCAATGCACCACCCCAAGTGGCTGGCAATTGATCAGCATATAGATTTATTACTATTTTAGTTTGTCATTCGGCCAGATGTTCAGACTGGATTTAGCATTTTTAACCGCTGCAAGTCCTTCTCAAGTACTTGGGGTAGGCAGATGTGGATGTTTGATATCATTAAAGATTATTGTCGCAGGATATAAACATTTCCAAGTAAAGCTGCCAAATTTCCAACTGGGAAATGTATATTTATATATATATTTTTTTACAGAGGCAAAAATGTAGCACTGATAGAAAAGCAAGATTTTCTTCCAGCCGAACACAACCTGCATAGCTTTCTGTCTTTTGTCGCAATAGCTATTGGAGAACTAAGCAGTCTGCAATGAAATCATACATTAGTTTTTGTTTGAAGGAGAGCAGTATGTGCTAACGTCATACAGTTTCGGCTCAATCTGTCAGCAGCATAGCATTTCCTGTAGCAGTTTTGCAAATAACAACTGCACCACCTTTGGGTGTTTTGCTTTATTTTCTGATTGATGAAAATGTTCTTTGCCTGCCAAGCATACATCCCTATCATTATTGCAGGAACTGGGCTTGGCTAGTCTAGTAAAGAGAAGGACCAGGGGAGACATGATAATGATACCATTATTATTTTTATTTTTTTAGAAAAAGAAGCTTTGAAGATATTTTATGCTATAAGACAATTTTAATAGTTTTGACTTCCATTTACCTCTGGCAAGGTCAAGGCTTTGCCCCAATTGGATTAAAACAGCAGAGCCCATGCGTTGCTTTCACAGACAAATACAGAACAAATTCCATAATGAATCACCTTAAGCCATTAAATAGGTCAACAGGATTTGCTTGTTAAAAAATAATGACACTGGCACATAAACACCTGTGCTATGGCCAAAGATTATATTTACTCCTGTGCAAGTCTCCTCTGAATGAATGGGAGAGCTCTTCTCATTTATTCCAGTGCATTTTGAAGATTGTGCTGTGTTTAAAAAGCAAGTTCCCATCCTTTACTCCATGTATTCACCTGAACAAAAGATGACTCAGGAAAGCAAATACAGTTTCCCATAGATTCATGGCATAGCCCCACTTTTCACTGAAGCTCACTGACAAAATACGTTTGGCTTTCCATGGAGCACTCCCCCTTAATTATATACGCGTGTGTGTGCATGTTGAGTCAGTATTGACTCCTGGCAACTGCCTGGACAGGTTTTCCAAAGGTTTTTGGAAGTGATTTGCCATTGCCTTCTTCTTAAGGCTGAAGGAGAGGAACTGGCCCCACAGCCACCACATACTAAGCTGGCTGTTAAGTTCTCTTAGTGTAAGTTATGTGAGAGAATTACTTTGGCAATTGTTGCAAAATACATACTGCTACTACTTCAAAAGCACCATGGTGAAAGAATTAACCGGTGACATCACTGTTGGCCAGGAAACGCCCGTTCAGGGGCTCTTTTCATGTCCCTGTTAATGAGCCCACTGAAATGGTACCTAATTATCTACTCGCGTTTGCATGCTTTCGAACTGCTAGGTGAGCAGGTTGGAGTGAATGACAGGAGCTTGCCCTCACATACAGCAGCCCTTGGGCTTTGAACACAGGCTTCCAAAGTGTCAACCCAGCATCCTATTAGTCACTACCATCCTTTTTCTACAAAACATGACCCTATCAGAAATAAACATTTTTCATTAAATCCAAGTGATTCTGAGTTGGCCAGTGTTGTAGGGCTCCACAAACCATTCAGATATTGGTCTAAAAGCAGGAAGACCCGGATCGGAATGGGACAACTCTCCCCAGATGTCTTTCCCTGGGCATGTCGCCGCAGGACAATTCAACATGGGATAACTGAAGACAAGTGAAATGCAGCGGGCGCCATCTTGCTTTAGGTTTGAACCTTCTCAAGATAGAAGCCCTTAAGGCTGGGATGAACTAGAGCATGGAGTTCCAGTGGCCCATCGGCCAAGTTGTGAAGCAAGTGCAGCACAGTGGGTAGTCCCTGCGTGGATCCAGGCCAAGGGCGCAGTGCATCTATGAGAGGAGACCTGCTTCTGCTGTTTTTTCCTGGTGCGCCCGCCCGTGAGAGCCAGCTGCTCTGCTGACATTGAGGTACTGGTCCTCTATCACGGGAGATCCCACCTCCTGGATCCACACAGGGACTGCCAGGTGTTCAGCGCTTGCTCCATGCCTTGACCAACGGGCTGCCGGGATTCCACATTTTGGCTCAGCCTAGCCTCAAGGATTTCAAACTTGAGAAGGTTCAAACCTAAAGCAAGACAAGGCCCACTACAGTCCACGTGTCCCTCTCTTGAGTTATCCCATGTTGAATTGTTCTGTGATATGTTGACCAGGGTAAGTCAGTTGTGGCAATATAGCCAAGGAAAATTGTCAGATACCAATCTTCCCTCAGCTGTGGAAGCTTATTGGATGAGTTTTGAGCTCCCCACCCAGAAAGCTGCCCAGACGTGTTGAGAATTGGGTGGCATATAACTTCAATTTATTATTATTACTTCACAGCAGAGCTGGTATTCAGCAGGTTCTGACCAGTTCTGGAGAACTGGCAGTGGAAATTTTGAGTAGTTCAGAGAACCAGCAAATACCACCTCTGAGTGGAGATTTTACAGTATCCTTCCCCTGGCACACGCACCAAGCCATGCAGAACCGGTAGTAAAAAAAAATCGAATCCCACCACTGCTTCACAGGGGTTGTTATTCTTGTTATTATGGGAAAAGGTAGGAGGGTGGAATGCTATATACGGCATCTTGTACTGATTGAAAGGCAGATGTAAATCTAATTAATACATAATGAATCAACTTTATTTATTTTTAGTTACAGGTAGATCTCAGTTAACAATTGCCCTGTTTAGCGATCATCCAAAGTCACAGTGGTACTGTAAAAGTAGCTCCATGACTGGCCCTCACATGACTGTCGCAGCATCCCACGTTCATGAGATTGCCACTTGCACGCTTCACAGCTAGCATCCAAAAAGTAGAGTTAATGGAAAAGCCAACAGTAAACTTACAAGTCACAATTACATGAAGTTGCACTTGGTGACTGTGGATGATTCACTTAACTAGCACAGGAGAAGTGAGGTGGTAAGTCCATTGCACCGATGTGAAATCTCACTTAATGACCACGTCACTTAGTGATGAAGCTGCCAGTCCCAATTGCACTTGTTAAATGAGGGCTACCTGTATTTGTTTATTTTGCATTACTTATATTTTGGTACCTCACAGGACTTCCATAGCAACTCAGCAATCACAAAATCAACAGCAAGCAAAATGAATTTTGTGTGATCTGGTGCCTCTCAACTGTATTGACCCTTTAATTCTTACCATCCTCCAGTTGGTTGGGCAACTGTTGTCTAATCTGTCCAATATATCAGTATTAGGTAATCTGCTGTCTTGAGAAACTTTGGACTGTATAATTAATAATTCCAAATAATTATAAAAATTACTTACAATTCCCAGTCCTAAGGAAGTTACAATTAAAACATTTGGAGAGCACATTCCAGTCATACATTATAATAAACCAAGCACCAGAATTTAAGAGCCATGACAGCTACTCAAACCAACTGTAACACAAAGAAGCATGTCACTGAATGCCAGTGGGATGCATGCCTTGGATCTATTGATGCTGGTGATCACAATTCACAAATAAGTCCCCAAACTGAGCACTTTTCAAATATTCTTATATACACTTATCATACCATTACATTTCTCAGTGGGCCTCCATTCATGGAATCAACATAATCCTTAAAGTATCCATATATGAGTGGATGATTCTAATCATACTACTGTCACAGCAGAATCTGTCCATGTGAGATGACCCCTTGGGGAGGACATCTTGTAAGTATCCTTGCCAAGGAGAAGAAGCTTTTCTACGGGTAGTCATATCCAGCTGGGGTAGCAATTGACATATGATCCAGCCATGGGAAAATTGGGGTCTAGTCACAATATCCAATCATAAAAGGCACAAAGTATCAAATATATGGATAAGATCTTCCCAAAGAGCAGGGCTTCCATATTGCCCATAGGAATAGACTGTTGACATGATTTCCCATCTGCATGTATATCTTGAGTAGCTTTTGTTATTAAAGACAAACCATAGAGTTGGAGAGAAGAGCAACAGGCTCTAGTGATTATGAAAGAGAAGTATTTATGAATGATAAGAATGTGGGTGAAATTTACCATTGTTAGAACAATACCCCCTTTTCCATAGCGAGATGTTAATGCAGGAGCAGGAGAAGCAAGAAATTATTACTTTTAAATATCCAAAATCATAATAAAAATGAGTCTGTCATAGCCCAATTAACTAAATTATTTTAAACATGCATTAAATAATTGTTTCAAGTGAGACTATCATTTCCCCACGAGGAGGGGACTAAATAGTGAAGCATAAAGATAACGTTTAATAAAACTGCATTATTTTCACATTGACTCCTTTGACACATTTATGTATTGACTGTCAGTGTGAGTTTTAATTTGTGTGTTTTCCGGCAGTGTTGTTTGTGTTGGTGGGGACGGAATGTTCAGTGAAGTGATACATGGTCTAATTGGAAGATCTCAGAAGGATTCGGGCATAGATCAAAATAATCCCAAAGCACAATTAGTCCAGTGCTGTCTCAGGATTGGCATAATCCCTGCTGGTAAGAACTGCAACATGGTGAATGTCTACCATACATTGTTATCATGTATTTACCACCTTGGACCAAAATGAAAAAATAATATTATATACGTGGGACAGCATAAGGGTTATATCTAGGAGTCTCAACAAAAACTGGGTCTTGCCTAGAACTATGGGCTTAGTTTAGATTGCCTAATATTTATTGAAACCTGTTGGCATATGCATTTGTTGAAGGTACAATTGGGACATGAACATGAATGGAAAGGCAGTGTTCTCCTCGGCTTCTATAACTTCAACCCAAGCTTATCGATTGGATGAATCCGATGAGAAACGGTAGAGCCCAGGACCTTTTTCTAGAGATTCAGTCAATGTATATGAGTCTGTAAAGAGTTGTAAGTTTTGTGTCCCAATCAGTTTTCAAAGGATGTCAAGGAATGGGTATCATCAAACCTTCAGAGAACTCCAGACTCGCTCATTCCCTTGTTTTGGAGGTGCCACTTGAAATCCAGAAGGGGCCTCTCAGAGTGCAGACAAAATTCTCTCGTTCTAAAGACATAAAAAGTACATTCTGTATCACAGTTCTCATTTATTGTAGAACTCGCATGAGACCTTGGCCACTGGTAATATATCCAAACTATGCTAATTAGCAGTACAGTATAGTATAAAAAGGTCTAAGAAAGAAAAGCAAACAATACAGAGTAGTGATGGCGAACCTTTTCTGTTGTGGTGTGACAGAAGCGTGCGTGCGAGTGATAGCATGCGCGTGCCGGCACCCACAATGCAATCCGCCCCGTCGCCCTGCGCATGCACGTGAAACAATCCCCCTTACCTGCACTGCGCATGTGTGAGCCTCCCAGCTGATTTTCGACCCGTTTGAGGTCCTTTTCACCCTCCCGGGGGCTCGAGGGAAGCCTCTGCAGCCTTTGGAGGCCGAAACGGGCCCCTTTTTCGGCTTCCAAAGGCTGCAGAGGCTTCTCTCGAGCCCCAGGGAGAGCGAAAATGGCCTCAAACGGGCCCCCGGGGCCTTCCGGAGGTTGAAAAAGGGCACTTACGGTATTTCCGGAAGGTTCATTTTTCAGCCTCCTAGGCTGCAGAGGCTTCCTTTGAGCCTCCAGGAGGGCGAAAAGGGCCTCAAACGGGCCAAAAATCAGCTGGGAGGCACGTGCATGTGCAGTGCAGGTAAGTTTGGCTGGGGCTTACATGCCCGCCCAAATGGCTCTGCGTGCCACCTGTGGCACACATGCCATAGGTTCGCCATCACGGGTTTAGAGTATTCATTCTAAATTGGCATTCTAAGCTTTTGATTTAGTTACATTCAACTTAGAGAACTAAAAGCATTGTTAATATATAATTGAAAGAATTATGCTTATCCTTTGACTAACTCGAGTTTTTACTGTTCATTCCTCCAATGCAAACCATTGGCAGGTCAGTCTGAGAAATCAATTTACAAGCGTATATTTGTTTAGTCAATAACCTTATTCCTATTTGCCTATATCCTAAACCTCTTTGCATAGCGGGCACAGAATTGCTCAGTTACTCATAGATGGGGTCAACAGATGGGGAAATTCCTGGGGCAATTCACAACGAAATTAAACTTTATGATAAAAACAAATTAAAAGACCACAATATAGAGAAGAATCAGCAGGAAGAAATACATACCCATCTCAGTTTTAAACTATTTAAGGAGGATTAAAAAGCTAAGAAACACTGATTCTTTAGCATAAATTCTAGCTGCACTTTCTTTCATAATTAGAGCATTCCCAATTTACCATTGCCATCTGCTGCACTGCAGACTGTATAATGAAGGCTTGTCATTATTGTGTGTGAAGGCACAGGTGAAGGAAAAAAACTTTTAATTTTGAAGAACTTTAAATCTTGAAAAGAGCATTTGCATGGAAGGGGAAAGCAAACCAGGCCTAATGCTAGGGCAGTCTGTCTGGGCTGCAAAAATCCCCGTCATCTTTGCCAACAAAGAATGTTTTGTATCTTTGGTGCCAATTAGCCATCGGCTGAATTTTTGAAGCCAAAGATGGTATGCCATCCCAGCACTGTCTTGGGTTAATGGTAGTTTCTACATCCTTTTCAAGTTTATTTTTTTAATCTCTGGCTGCTCGTATTTTACAATTGAGCACTAGATACCAATGTGGTTACCAGAATATACTTTTCTAAAGGATTGGAAGAAAGGCGCTTTTTCCAGAAAATTGATTTCCCCTGCTCTTTATTTTCAGCCTGAAAATATACCTCTGTTGCTCAGAGACCATTGTGAATTATAGTTTCTGTTAGAAGGGGGTAAGTGTTCAAGTCAACAGTCAATACAATTAAACCTGTGCTTTCTGATGGGCTGACAGCCTGTGCTGTGGATGTGTTCCACTGACTTCTGCCTTGATGTTAATTCTCTTGCAGAGGATCTATTGGCAGTCATGATTGTGTAAAAGGTAAACAAAAGTATAGTTGGCTCAGTTTAACCATGTTTCGTCTATCTTTTTACTTTTTTAATACCTTTATTATTTATGGGTGCGGTGGCCCAGTGGCTAAGACGTTGAGCTTGTTGATCAGAAAGGTCGGCGGTTCGAATCCCTAGCCCCGCTTAATGGAGTGAGCTCCCGTTACTTGTCCCAGCTTCTGCCAACCCTAGCAGTTCGAAAGCATGTAAAAATGCAAGTAGAAAAATAGGGACCACTTTGGTGGGAAGGTAACAGCATTCCCTGCGCCTTCAGTGTTTAGTCATGCCGGCCACATGACTGTGGAGACGTCTTTGGATAGCACTGGCTCTTCGGCTTTGTAACGGAGATGAGCACTGCCTCCTAGAGCCAGAAACAACTAGCACATATATGTGAGGAGAACCTTTACCTTATTATTTATATTTTTATTTGTCTATTTGACAAAACAACTTTTTGTTTAAAGTACACATTAAGTATAGTTATTTTGCTCCAGTCTTGGCAAAGGGTTCCAGTTTGTTAGTCTTCCCAGTTAAACCATACAGGAAACACAGCCAGAAGAGCTAGTTCTACTTCATTGTAAAACTATGTTAGCAGAATCTTGGAAGTCTGAAACTACAAATCTCCTACCATCTCCTTAACATCCTGAGAAGCTGGGTAGGGTCCCTTCTGAGCCTCTTTCTCTGCTCATTATGCAGCTGAGGACTATGCCATCTCTTAGATGACCATTCCCTTTGTAGCATTTCTTGTGCCACCTCCCAAGGTCTCTAGTAGCACAATACGGTAGATCCAGAAGCCACATAACTGACCAAACAACTGAAATCTGTGGCTCTGTTTGGTAACTTAATCCTCAGTTAAGATAATTTTGTCCTCATAATGTTTTTGAATTGCAAACAACGTAAAGTTTGCTTACTTTCCAGGTTCAACCGATTGCATATGCTATGCAACAGTTGGCATCAATGATCCAGTAACATCTGCATTACATATCATTGTGGGTAGGTATTTGTTTGCTTTAAGGCTCATTGACACAATTTTAAACACTCTAGGAAGTTTTATGGTGTCGTTACTATTTTTGGCAAATGAAAAAAATCAAATGCAAAACCAGAATATAGTTGTTGACCATTAAGACATCATTAACACCAGCTGAGGATTTTGCAAAAGCCTTGCTATTCCACTAAAATTTATGATAAGAGCGTGGCATAGAAGATATGGCAGTTGGATATGATCATGAAAGCATTCTGCTGGCAGAAAGTTATACTGAGGAATCACTTCACTTTATCACTCAAAAATGCATCTGATAGACATCACAATGTTAGCATCATCTGTTCTATGGAAGCACCAGTGTTATGCATAGCTCACTGAGGTTATTTTTTACCCTTGCATGTGAGCAACTTCTAGCTGATTCATGGTTGTACACAACTATCACTACTGCACAATCACTATTTCAGGGATCCTAGTTTTCCAGGATATATTTTCAGGCAATGTGTATCTTCCTCCTTCATTCCATGTTAATCATAAGCAGGACAGAATGGTCATTATCCTAGTACAGGAGCATCGTAATGCTCCTCACTACAACTAGAACGTAGAGTACTGGAATCTGTAGAGGATTGGAAGGAACCTTGGAGGTCTTCTAATACACACACACACACACACACACACACCACTCAAGTAGGAGACCCAATACCATTCCAGACAAATGGTTGTCCAATCTCTTCTTGAAAACCTCAGTCATGGAATACACCCAACTTTTGGAAGCAAGCCATTCCATTGATTAACTGTTCTCACTGTCATGAAGTTTTTCCTTAATTTTGACCTTAGATCTCTCTTTGATAATTTCCCATCTGTTACTGGGTGTTTTGGAGAATAAGTTGACCCCACTTCTCTGTGACAGTCCTTCAAGTACTAGAAGACTATTGTGTCAACCCTAGTTCTTCTCTTGGCTAGACTAGACATACATACCTAGTTCCCACAACTGCTCATCATAGGGTTTAGCCTCCATACCCCATATCCTCTTTGTTACTCTTCTCTGCACTCTTTCTAAAATCTCAGCACCCTTTTTGTATCACGATGACCATAATTTCAAGTGTGCAATATAAAGCAGTATGATTATTTTACATGGCCTTGATACTGTCCCTTTGTTGATACAGCCTAGGATTGCTTTGGCTACGGGTAAATCAGTAAAACTAGAGTGAATTGCTTTGCGTATTGCATCACAAGAGTCATAATAGCAAACACTTAGCTTTTTAACTAAGTAATTATTCATGAACACATTTTCAGTATTTGAATTAGAGATCTTCTAACTATTCTATCAGGCACTGCAGAACCTTTTATAGACATAAAAAGAATGGGAATTTATTTTGCAATCTTATTTTTTTTTAAAAGATAGTTTTTAATATTTTACAATGCTTTATGTATGAATATATTTTATATGTTTCGATATAAGTCAGTTTTACAGTGACAGAGTAATGAAATATCTCTTGTTAATAGGAGATAATCAACCTCTGGACGTTTGTTCAGTACATCGCAATAATACATTTCTGAAATATTGTGTATCATTACTGGGATATGGTTTTTATGGAGATGTATTAAAAGACAGTGAACAGAAACGCTGGATGGGCCCTGCCAGATATGACTTCTCAGGTAACATCTTGTATATCTTCTGCATCCATCCTTTATGTCAAGCAGCCAACAGATTTACCCTCCCCTGCCATTTTTAAAAATCTCTTCTATTAAAATTTCAATACATTTAATCACTGTCCTAGTATTATCTTGTGGTTAATTATTTGGATAGAACTGTAGAGACCTTGGTATAAGCCCTCTTGTACCTCTTGATTCTAGAGAATCATTAGTTGACAATGAATAAGCCACTTTCTTAACATAGCAATAACAATAGCATTTAGACTTATACAGTATACTGCCCCATAGTGCTTTACAGCACTCCCAAGGCAGTTTACTATGGCAGCATATTGCCCTCAACAATTCTGGGTCCTCATGTTACTAACCTCAGAAGGATAGAAGGCTGAGTCAACCTTGAGCCGGTCAGGAGCGAATTCCTGGCAGTGGGCAGAGTTAGTCTACAATACTGCATTCTAACCACTGCGCTATCTTGGTTTCTTCATAACTTACTTCTTCTCCTTCTGTTGATAATCTATCTCCCCCTGTGATCCTGTTGTGGAGAAAAATGAAGGGAATTCATCATGTATACCACCTTGGAGGAAAAAATGAGACATAAATCTAATATTTTTTGAACTTTTCTTTATTCCACTTTTCCTTCAGGAGCTCTGAGTAGTAATCCTAGCACAATACCTCCCCCCACAAACAACCTGGTGAGATATGATGAGCCAAGTTTCCCTAATGGAGGGTTAACTCGAGCCTGGATTTAGGTTTAAAAATTTTCTGCCCTAAACATAGCCATTTGTGACTTAAGCAGTGAATGTCAGTTTGATGCTGATCATCCATAGCTCTAGTCTACACAGTGCTAGTTTTGTTTTTAGCTTACCATATTTTGTGAATCAAGCTATAGTTTAATTCTTAGAGGGATGCCTGCACTCAACAATATAGTTCAGCAAATCATAACTTGATGTGTTCCTATAATTGGTAACTGGGTGATCAGGTTTCTCCTCTGTCGCGCTTGATATCTGTTCTGTATCTGAGTAATCAGGGTGTGGAAGACATGACAGGCATTGCTTTCCGAATCATTGAGCCTCCAAGAAAATTCTACAGGGCACATTTAGGTGACACATAAAGGAGATTTACTAAGAAAAAAAAATGCTAGGTATGGCTCTGGAGCAGGGGTGTCAAATTCAAGGACCGTGGGCTGGATCTGGTCCACAGGGTGCTTAGATCTGGCCCGTGGGGCCACCCTGGAAACAATGAAGGACAGGCCTGTGGTGCCTCTGCCAGTGAAAACAGCTTTGGAAGGCCTGTGGCCCTCCCAAGTTGTGTTTTCACTGGCAGAGGGTTACAGGAGGCCGTTGCAGCCAAAAACGGAGCTTGGGAGCCCGTTTTCACTGGTAGAGTGCTCAGACTGCCACAGGCGCCCCTGACATGAGTGACGTTGAGCTGGTCACACTCATCCTGGCCATGCCTGCCCCGGCCCCCAGAGGTCAAACACAACTCTGATGCGGCCCTCAATGAAATTGGGTTTGACACCCCTGCTGTAGAGAATTACTCTCCAGGGGAAAAGAGCCCAGTGGACAACCACACTAAGGCTGAGTGCAGAGGTGGGGATTTAACTCCCAAACAGTGGCCTTTCTTTAAGGAGAACATGTAGACGGTGCATTTTAGGTTGCATCTAAAAAACGCTTATTTAGGAACAAGTTGTAGGAAGTATCCACAGAATAATGAACAGATATAAAATAATCGTTCTCTTCTAGTTCTATGGGAGAATAGGTAGAAGAAAAAGCAAGAATTAATGATTTCTTCCATATCGTTTTTGTCCCCTTTCAAGGTCTCAAGACTTTCCTCTCACATCATTACTATGAGGGGACAGTGTCTTTCTTACCAGCCACACAGGCCGTGGGGTCTCCAAGAGATAAGAAACCCTGCAGAACTGGGTAGGCTAAATCACTCAATTCACCTCGAATGCCTGTGCAGTAGAAAGACAGGAATAGATTTGGTAATTTAGCTAAATTTTAAGAATGTAAAAAAGAAAAGAAAAGAAGTTGAGTTAATCGTGCAAAGGCAGGGGCAACTTTAAGATTTGTGGACTTTAAGACTTGGCAACTTGAAGACTTGTGAACTTCAACACCCAGAATTGGAGTTAAGGATCCACAAAGGTGATTCTAAATCATCAGGCATGAAATTTTCAGCTTATCTAAATTGCATTTGAAATGCTACTTATCATGCAGCAAAGTGAATGGCCTCAAATCCATTTTGTCTGCAGAGAAGTCGTGTGTGTGTGTGTGTCTGTGTCTGTGTCTGTGTGTCTGTGTACACATACTACTAAAACTTTCATGCTTCTCCATGTGTAGCCCTGGGCAAAACAGTCTATCTTAGAGCAAAATGTTTTGAACCAAGGTACCTCAGGTGAAGTAACTTACTGGAATGCATTCTGTAAGTCCAGAACTCATGGCTCTTATGGAATTGAAATTGGGAAAATTTTATAAAACATTTTATGCCATACAAATTATCATAAAACGTTTTGTGACATAATAGGAAACATTTCCTCTGATTCCTAATTGACTGTGGTATACAGTTCAACATGGGCTATTTTCAAAACCAATGCATCTCTGAATATCTCCCTGAATTTTTAACAGCTTTCCCAAATGAAGGCAGTGCGGTAGAAGCTCTGCCATGGCTGAAGCTGGTGAGGAAATAGCTCTGAAAGTAAGACACAGTGAGCCACGGGGTGTCCTGTCGATAATTAAATTAAATTTAAATTTTACATTAATTAAAATTTAAATTAATTATTCAATACCTAAGTTATATTTTCAGCACTGAAGTTGTTACCTTTTGTTCTTTAGGTGCCGGATTTGCAAGAAAAGTAAACTACAGCTGGAGAAAGATCAGCAGAAGACGGAAAAGGAGATTAAAAGTAACTTTATAGTTTGTAGAACCTTGTTTGTTAATAGTTAGATTGGTTCAGTTAGTTTCTAATACCTATTTTATTTGGATGATGAGTATAAAGACAGATTCCAAATCAGAATAAGAAAAGACTGAATTTAACTGCAGTAGAAGCCCAAGGAAAATTCAGAGGGGTTTATAATGAGACAGGCTTTTTTCAGATTTATCCTGTTTATAATTATTCATTATCATTCAGTACAAATGCTGATTTATGTCAGACTCTGCAGTTGGTACAAGTGTAAGAACAGCATGCCAAGGCATTTCCCCTCCGAAATCCCTCGGTGCACTTAAGAATGGACCTCAAATCTGGCGAAACACTAGTAAATAGTATCATTCTTGTGATGGTTCTCCCAGTCGGGCAGAAAGAGTTTTAGCAGCGTGAGTGTATCCTGCATTAAATCTTTCGATATTGGTGGCATTCACATAAAGCGTATTGCAGAATGGTGTAAACCTATTGTGGCAATTGTCTATCTTAGCTTGAGGCATAAAGCCTCCCGAGTCCCAGCTGAGTCTCCTTTTCTTGCCCTGCACAGGAGAACAGAGCTGGAAAGCAGGTTAGCGGGGTGGGGAGGGAATGGGGGACTTTGCAGTGACCTTCCCCCAGGAGTGGGGAGGGAATGGAGAATTTGCAGTATCCTTCCCCTGACAAGCCCACCAAGCCACAGCCACAGAACTGGTAGTAAAAAAAATTTGAATCCCACCACTGGTCTGGGAGATAGAAGGTTGGGAAAATTGCCATCCGTTCCTTCACCCTTTTATGGAGTCCACAATGTCTTAAAACATGTCTCCAAATCCAGATGATACCAACATGCAACTGTATCTCTTTCAGGGGATGAGGAAGGAGAATGGAAAGTCATTCGAGGGAAGTTTCTAGCCATCAATGCTGTGAACATTAGCTGTGCCTGTCCACGGAGTCCTAAAGGCCTTTCACCAGCTGCACACCTGGCAGATGGCTCTGCAGACCTCATTCTAGTTCGTAAATGTTCCCGGCTAAACTTTCTAAGATACCTCTTAAGGCATACAAACCAACATGATCAGGTGCGTGTTTTTCTCTCTTTAACAGTATGATATCTTCACAATTGGAACAGAGGCACAGTCTGATGTAGATTAATAGACTTGTGGTGAAACCAAAAATAGGACACTTGCATAACTTACAAGAAGTAAGAATAAAAAGCTAGACTTTCTGGAACTTATAGGTCAGAGAATTCTTCATTCCATCATCCTCCAGTAAAGTGTCCTTCTCAGAGGGAGGGAGATTAATTGATTGGTTATTTGCACTGATGCCGCTTAGTTCTTATCACTCCATGGATGGGGCTATATTTTATTTATGTATTTATTCCTTTCTTTTTTAACCAACCAACTCAACCAAGTGACTCTGGGCAGCTTACAATTCTAAAGTTATAAAACAAAACAATTGCAAATCATTGAAACAATAAAAACATCCAGAAGATAAATAAGTACAAACATCAGCCATGATGATTAATCAAGTAATAGTTAAGACAACAGGGCCCTTAACATATTCCAAGCCCTAGGCCTGACTATGTAGCTAAATTTTTAAAGCCTCGTGAAAGGCCACCAGAATTGGGACCACTTTAATCTCTGAGGGGAGAATACTCATTAATAAAGCAAGAGCTACAGCAGAAAAGGCCTGTCTTTTAGTCCCCTCTTTATAAATTACATATATGGAGGAATCAAAATAGGCCCACCAAGAATGACAGCTCAATCTTTACCAAGAGCGGGATGTGAATAACATCTCTTCGATACTATTTAAGGAAAACTCTTGAGTCTGCAGGAAGTGGGTTCAATGCTTCTGTTGCATTCCAAGGCCAGAGATAATTTAGACATGGAGAAAAGAAAACAACACCCAGACTGAGAATTAGGGAAGCATTATCTTCTCAAGATATGAAATCTGTATTTGGTTTTGGAAAACAGCAGTTTTGGAAACCATGGTTTCCAAAGGCATCCCGGAACATTCTATGGCTGGCTTCTCATTGTTGGTTCACAATGCAGGGGCATTTTGCTAGTTATTAAGAGCAAGTGCAGTAAATCTGAGCAACCTCAGGCTAATAAGAGAAAAGTAGAAATAAATGAACCCATTCAAGGGGAAAGTAACTATCATTATCCAGATTTGTTATGTCGCAAGGAACAATGTGCGACTGAAGTTTGCATAGCAAATTATGAATTCTATATAATTTAGTGAAGAATTGATGGAGCATCAGTTAAAACTGAATCTATAATAGGGCAGGTTCTAGAAATAATAAGCAATGGTAGTAAATAATAGTAGAAATGGTAGTAAGCTTTCATAATGTTTTTTTTCTCCTTCCTTAATCTTCTCCGGATAGCATTAGACTGAATTTCACAGCTTTTCTTCTGTAAAATGGGGCATAATATTATTCATAGAATTGTAGGAGAAAATCTTACCTTTATGTAAAATACCTATTCTACAGGTAGTTCACAGAGTATGAACACTTCCATTCCTTAATTGTCTTTAACCCAAATTTGTATTTAAGTTGAAAGAGTTTTCTGTACTTGTACTTCTTCATATCAAGGAGAAGCAACAATGTTGTTTTCAAAGCTTTTTGTAAAGCTTAAACTTATAACTGTAAGTTTTATACCTTAAAAGTGAGCTAGGTGGGAAACAGACTTCCAGCAAAAGAATACTCTGGAATTTTATTTCTTACCATCTTGAGAAACGGCTGGAATTCAATCTGTCACTTTCCCTGCAGGCAAAGTGATCTGATTCAAAATGGCGGATGGCATACTCCTTCCTGGAGCCAGCAAACCACTGAAGCCACAGAGGTGCATCCAGGAACTACTGAAAACAGCTGCGCACTTTTTAAATGATGCTGATGAAAGCATTGCACAGCTTCCAAAGTTCATCAACTCAAGAGAGAACGCCATCTGCCATTTTGTGTTGTATCACATTGTTGGTCAGATGCCCACCATTTAAAATACTGTAACAGGTGAGCCATCTGCTATTTTGTAACAGGTGAGCCATTTCATATCTAGGGGTTTCTTCAAGTTAATTCTTTCTTAAATGGGGACTGCCTCTACTACTTTAGTGGCATTCAACCAGTTTAATGCAGCTCAGATGAAAATTGTAGCAAATGCAAAAAAAATCACCTTTATTTATAGAAATAGTTTTGTATGCACCATATAGTTTATTCTACAGATAAAGAGAAGGTTGTTGAGAAAATTGAATTTTACAGCACAATCATCAACATCTAGAGTTAGATATGCTTAAACCTATTGAATGTCTGAATACACCTAACTGTATTTTTATATTATAGTGCTGAGTGTCATTTTAAACAAAATTTAGTTAAGTGCTATTTAGACAAAAAAAACCCTCAAAAACCTGACATGTTTTTTTGACAATTTCTAAGGCAACAAATACTGTAATTTGCTTCCTACAATTTCTCTACAGTTTGATTTCAGCTTTGTAGAGGTTTACCGGATTAAAAAGTTTCGTTTTACATCAAAGCATTTTGATGACGGTGACAATGATAACCAGGGTATGCGGAAAAAACACTTTGGTCAGTTCTGTAGAGACCACCCAGCCTGCTGCTGCCTCCCACCCAGCAGCACCTGGAACTGTGATGGAGAGACCCTGGATTGTTCAACTATTGAAGTCAAGTGAGTATCTTTCTTTTGAAAAATGGATCTATGAATAGAAAGAGATTAGAGTGCAATTCACACATTAATCCTTTCCCTAACAGGACTTAAAACTGACAGTGTGCTTCCACTAAAGATAGAGATCTGGTGTTTTGTTTGTTTTTTACATACGCATAGCTGCGCGTTCCTAAAAAAAAGGTTGTAATCTTCTCACCTAAAAAATGTCAACATGTTTTATTAAACAGAACTTTATTAAACAGACTATTTATTGCCTTCAATAGCAGTTCCCAGGAAGGTAGAAAGGTTTCCATGAGCAGGAAAAAGGTTAAACCTTTTTTTTTTTAAATCATCTTCCCAGCCAGAGTTCTCAGTACATGATAAAAAGAGAATATGATGGTTTGTTCAACCAAACATGGTTAAACAATGCCTAATTAGTTCTGTGGAATTCCTTACTACAGAACCTGGTTACTTTCAACTGTCACTGATGTAAATAATTTTGAAAGGAAATTAGATAAATTCACAGAATGAAGACTAATAAGAGCTACTGAGCTTAAGACTCAGGGTTGGGAGCAACCTGCATCCATGGGTTTGTTTCAAATAATACAGTGAGATATATATTATAATTTACAAATTCTAGGCAAAATCCCAAGTAATTCTATATCTGACATACCTGAACTACTTGGAGGCTAGAGACCAATCTAAAAGGTAATAAGAGATATACAGATGTATGTGAAGAGATCTTCTTTTTGGCTAGATGATTCCATTTATTTATTATGGCATTTCTCCAAATAAAAAAAATATACTAGGAAAAAACACAAAACATAGCTGTACTTGCTATCTCAAATTGCCATTGTGAACAGCTTCTTACACTGAATAATTGAGAGGATTTTGTTCTTATTAGTGACTGGAAGATTAGAATTGATAGAATTTTATTATGTGAAGATTTTACAATTTCTTACATTTGCAGAGTTCACTGCCAATTAATTAAACTCTTTGCAAGAGGAATAGAAAAGAATCACAAACCTGAATCACCTTACAAGCAACTTACCTGAGCAATTAATTAAAGTCAACACTGCAAGAACATGAAAGAAAAAAAGCAACATACAGACAAGCATTTCTGGCATGTTAATAAATGTTTTTAAACTTTATTTTTCTGGTAAAATTTTAATTTTGGATATTAACTTTTCAGTTAATGTCTTCAAAGAAAGTGGATTGTTTTAAATTATTTTATGGTAAGACAGGGAAGATGATTTTTGACTTGTATTTCCTTTCTTTTGTTATGAATGGATTCTGTTTTCTCTGCTATGTTTCTAAGCTGGATGCTCTTTCTCTTAGTTCAGGATAAAAAATCAGATTATTATTGTTATGGCCCATCACACAGTTAGCTCAATGTTCTGACTGGATTTGCATTTTTGTCCACCTATCAACTCTTCCCAAGGACCTGGGATAGGCAGATGTGGATGTTTGATATAGGTATTTAGAGGTATTGTCACAGGATGTAAGCTGTTCTGAGCAAAGCTGCTTTTTGCAATTGACTGATTATTGTCTGTTCACAACAATGTGCAGTCAGTTGCCAGCTCTTTAGTTGACGCTTCATATTGAGTCCTTCTGCTGTTCCTTATTATTTAGGCCTAGAAGTGTAGAACTAGAGAGACAGTTATCTTCATCTTCTTAAAATATAGTATCAAGAGTGGATTGGTGAAAGAGAAATGGAAAAAAGTACAATTCTTCTCCAGCCTGCTCAATTGCCTATTCAATCCAGTGGTGGGCTGTAACCGGTTTAACAACTGGTTCAGTGAGCGTGCGCTTTGCGCACACGCGCAGCCTTCCAAAACCACCCATTTTAAGCTTTAAAACTTACCTTCTATGTCAGCACTGGTGAATAAAACAGCTGAGGCACGGCAATCCACTGTGCTGCGCGAATCAGCTGGGCTAAAAAACAGGGAAATATAGGACAGGAAAAGAAAGGGGCAGGTGGGTGGAGCCAACTGCTTACCGGAACTACCAGTAGAAGCCGAACAACGGCCTACATCAGGGCCGTCAAACTTGGGGGCCTGCAGGCCAGATGCATCATGTGCTGCCCATGCCCGGCTTAGCAAAGTGGGGGGGAAGTCACGATACGACGCCGTGATGATGCGAGTTTGACACACCTCGCCTACATGAAAGTTCATTCATGCGTATAGAATTCTTCGTTACTTATGGCTACTAGATGAATGGCAAGTTATTAAAGCCAAGCCTGCAGATTTGGTACAAATTTTGCCATTGATGTCAGGGAAAAGGATTATTATGTATGTTTGCCACCTTGAGTTACTTATAAAGTAATAAAGGTGGCATTTTAAAAAAATCAAATATATATGGCTTTGAACTTTTGGATTATAAATACAGATAGTGGGCATTCTGCTTGCAGCGGAGGCTGACAAAACTTTTTATTCTTTTAAGGAGATTTTGAATTGTGTATGACAGGGCTGTCAAACTCCTGGCCCACGGGCTAGTTGTGTCACGCACTGGCCACGTCCATGCTCAGTTTAGCGAAGGGGAGGGAAGTCCCAATGCGTCACATGACGACCCTGTGATGATGTGAGTTTGACACTCCTGGTGTATGATTTAAAATATGATAGTATCCTATCATTAATCTCGTTTTCTCCTGAAATGACCATACACTCCTTCATTGCTCGAGCTATTTTGCATTAGCAAGCTCAGCACAGTCCAAATGCACGTCCTGGGTTGCAAGTAATAGCAAACATCCTATATATATATATATTTGTTTGGGTATTTTCCCACATCATTATAGTTGTGCTTTTAAAGTTGTAGCGATGTTTCGGCAGAATCTCATCTGCCATCATCAGGTTTGGGTATACAATATACAAGCCTGATGACGGCAGATGAGATTCTGCCGAAATGTCACTGCAACTTTAAAAGCACAACTATAATGACGTGAGAAAATACCCGAACAAAACTGAATACCATACATATAAATACCCGTGAAAACTTAAGAAAAACTTAAGAAAAAATATATATATCCCCCCCCACCCCCCAGCAATATGTTTGAAAGTTATCCCTGTTGAGAGAGACTGTCTTAAAGGATTATGCCCCAAAACTTATCTGAAACTGTAGATGATGCAGGAACAAAAACGGGCAGGATAGAAGAGTGTGGCACTTCACAGAGAAGCGTCCCAGGACTTCCATGCTCCCGTAATTGGGGCAGTTTCTGCATATAGTATCTGGAATGTTTTATCCTGCCTCTTCCTTCATCTTTTTTTCGTGCTTCCCTAAAATGGCTTCTGCAAAATTGGTGACCGCTGGAGATGTTGTGAGATGAGGTGGTAACAGAAAGCACCTGCCCAGGAGGCGGGGGGCGGGGGAGGGGAGAAAATGTTGGCACAAATGCCCCTCCCCTTACACAAATGGAGCAGCAAATTTTGGATACCGGCGAAATTTGCCTTCCCAACCAAAGGTTTTCTGTGCAATCAATGTAACAGTTGTTTTGTTTTGTTTTTCAAACTTGGCATTTTGAGCATGCTGACTAGTTTGAGAAACATTCCAATAGAATCAAGGGACAGAATTCATTTGCTGATGCATTTCTTTTTTCAGGGATAGCTGAAAATGCAGCTTGTTTCATGTAGACTGCTATTGCAACTAGACAGAGCTGCCTTGTTATTTTTACCAGTTGGTAGGTTACTTAATTTTTAATTTGATATTGTTAAATTTCTTTGGAAACCCATTGAAATGACCACAGTATTTATACTGTACGGGAGCTCACTTTTTCTCTGAAAAGAAAAATAATAATAATCTGGATGTCACCAATTCAGATTATAGGTGTGTAATCAATTGCATGTTTAAATTAATCCCTTCTGAAACTGTTTTTTTATATCTAGCATATCAAAGAGAAACCTAGATTAATTTGAGTTATGCTAGGTTTCTACTTGCATGCAAAGTAACTGATTCTACATTTCTAGCCTGAAGGGTGTTTAGTAAAACTCCTTGGTTTTGCTGATAAATAAACTGGCCAGAAGGTGCTAGTATCACCTTCTATATGATTTTGTAACGACCAAACAATATTTAAATGTTTAGACTGAGTCTAATAGCTGATTAAAGGAGTTACTTAATTCATATAGAATTTAACAGGTGGGTTGCTGTATTTATTTTGATATTCTGGATTGATACATGATATTGTGGAATTACCACTGTAAATTGCCACTGCTTTAATCATACGTTCTCTTTGTGAAGGACTTGATGTTTAAAGAAGAAAAAATAGGACTTCTCCATAGAAAAAGATAATGAAAAAATCATACCCTTTCTGGAAATTTTGTATATTATTTGGACCAAACTTTTGCTTTGTTCTGTTATCTTTGAATTTGTATAACTATATTTTTTTATTTTTCTACTATGTCTGTACTTTTCTTGGGAATGTTCCATTCCACCATTTCTTCATCAGTCTTATTTACAAGGAAGCAAATCCTGTTGAATTCAGTGGGAGCTGATTTCCATTTAAATGTATAAAGTTCATTGTAAGAATAGTAGGATTCCTTGTATTTTCTTAATCGTCTATGATATCCACTTGACATAAACGTAATGTTTGCTAATAGGTCACTGCTCCATCACTGTATACATCAATAATGATAAACTACTGTTCAGTGAAGATATTTCTACAATTCCTCATAAGTTCTTTCAATAATTTGTGATATAGCACCCAGTTATTTCAATGAAATGTTTCTCATGAACTCCATGCATTAGTTACTCTTCCAGGGTCCCCAAATTAATTGCTTGGAAAATGGTCCAGCTGTTATTATATTTAGTTGCTATACACATGACTAGACAACTAAGTTATTGCCATCAAAAACATTTGTGTAACTCGTATCTAAATGATGTCAGTATTTCTTTTGCCAGCTTTGGTTCTAAGTAAAGCTCCAAAGTTTATTTTCCATCCAGTTAAATGAATAAAATATCTCTGTTGGATATTTATTTGTACCCAATGTAGCTTGACTGGAATTTTACTGAAATGGAGGCCTAGTTTTGGAAACATTTTTGTTCAAGTACATTCCATAAATATTCAGATTTTCCATGCATATAAATTACATGAGCTTCCCAGATGTCTTTGTAACTCTTAACTCTAGATAATAGTCTACAGCAGGATGATCAATGCCTTCAATATTAATAATGGCTTGACTAAAAGAAAATTGCTCCATTTTCTAACATGTTTTAGAATAGCTTTAATGTTGATTGGTATTCTATCAATTTTTTAAAAACCAGAAATGTATTTTTGCCAATGGAAAGATGAATTGTGTAGCAACAAAGACTTGCTAGGAAATGTTCCAAGAATAGGAATATGACTATTCTAAATTTTCAGTTAAGTTTTGTAACAGAATCAGTAACAATAGAAAACCTCAATAATCAAGCTGCTTAAAGGTTGGCTTGAAGTAATTTTACAATTATAAGGTTAGCATGAGGTAATCTGCTCAAATAGCTTTCTGGCGTGAGAACATTATTATATTAATAGACAGATTTATTAGGTAGGACTCATCAACATATCCGTGTAGCTGACCAGACCTTATATTGTTAGCAAAATTTTGTGTCATCCAGAACCTAGTTGTAGCTGTAAAAAGTGACTTTTCAAAATCAGAAAACAAATGAGACTATCCAGCATAGTTGTGAAATCATGGTAAATATAGACATTGGAGTAACAACTCTGTTTCCTCAAAATTGTTACAAAGCACAATTCATGCTTCATATAATGCATTAAGTATTTCTCATTATAAAGCAATTTCTCTGTATATGGAATGCAATCCTATGAATGCTGATTTGGGAGTAACCCCGTTAAACTAGCTGGGTTTTGGTGCTTAGTAAATGTACAAAGGCATATTCTATTTGACTTTTTAAAGCTTAGTTTGAAAGTAGAATCAGCATTCTTAATATGTATATGTTTGGTAGGAAGCTCCATGTTGCCATGGGGATGAATTTATCAGTCTTGCTGGTTTCAAGATTGAAATGCTACTGTTTGTTTTTAAACTGAAATATTTCTGGAAATAAAATTATACTGCAGATGTTATGTGTGGCGTTCTTGTATCTGTTCAAGTTCTTACTGTATAAATGCAGTATTCCAAGTGTGGCCTTATAATGCCTTGGTAAGGCCACACTTGGAATACTGCATTCCGTTTTGGTCATCACGGTGTAAAAAAGATGTTGAGACTCTAGAAAGAGTGCAGAGAAGAGCAACAAAGATGATTAGGGGACTGGAGGCTAAAACATGAACTGGGCAGGAACTGGGTCTGTCCAGTTTAATGAAAAGAAGGACTAGGGGAGACATGATAGCAGTGTTCCAGTATCTCAGGGGCTGCCACAAAGAAGAGGGAGTCAAGCTATTCTCTAAAGAACCTGAGGGCAGGACAAGAAGCAATGGGTGGAAACTAATCAAGGAGAGAAGCGACTTAGAACTAAGGAGAAATTTCCTGACCGTTAGAACAATTAATCAGTGGAACAACTTGCCTCTAGAAGTTGTGAATGCTCCAACACTGGAAGCTTTTAAGAAGAGATTGGATAACCATTTGTCTGAAGTGGTGTAGGGTTTCCTGCCTAAGCAGGGGGTTGGACTAGAAGACCTCCAAGGACCCTTCCAACTCTGTTATTCTATTCTATTCTATTCTGTATCTCAATAGCTTTTATTCTACTGCTGGATTACAATGTTATCTAGTTCAGTGTTTGCCAACTGGTGGCTGGGGACCACTGGTGGTCCGCGAGAAAATTTTAGTGGTCTGCAGTGAAATATCCCCCCCCCCAAAGCACTCCTCCTAAAGCAATTAATGCAGGCTGCATGGGAACACAAGATTGTGCCGCCCACATGGCCCGCCCATCCACTGGCCCTCACCCTTCGGCCAAGCACAAACCTTAC